CCACGCCTGCCACGCTTGGCGAGGCCGAAACGAATAGCGACCGCACCCCCAGCGCACACCCTGTGACGTCGAGGAAGTGTCACGCCTGCCACGCCTTGCAAGGCCGAAACGGATAGCTACCGCACCCCCAGCGCACCTCCTGTGGCGTCGAGGAAGTGTCACGCCTGCCACGCTTTGCGAGGCCGAAACGCATAGCGACCGCACCCCCTGCGCACCCCCTGTGGCGTCGAGGAAGTGTCACGCTTGCCACGCTTTGCGAGCCCGAAACAGCGACCGCACCCCTCTGATCACCCCCTTGTAGCATCGAGAAGAGGCACGGTGTGAGATGTGTGTCTCATGGGTATGCCCATTATGTAGCGCATACGTCGTGGGTGTATGATGCAGTGAACACGCCAGGCGTGCACTAGCTTTGTATGGTGTGTACGTGCGAGTGTGTGCATGCGTGCGGCTGCATGTAGACGCGTGTCTGATGCACGCGCCGCGCCGTGCATGGGTTGCGTGTCGGTGAAGGGAGGAAGGAAGTGGAGGAGGGGAGGAAGGAGGAGAGAGGGGAGATGTGCGGGAGACGCGGGTGCGACGCGGCAGGGATGAAAACCAGCAGAACCCCACGAAACATGTGGGGAAAGAATTTCAAAAAATGAAAACAAACAAAAAAACAAAAAAAAAAAAAAAAAAAAAAAAAAAAAAAAAAAAAAAAAAAAAAAAAAAAAAAAACTCGCGACAACACTCCCCGCATGCCCCCCAGGGATACAACACGGTTCGCGCGAGCGCCATCCGGGAACGCCCAGGGCATATTGCATTCCCGATCGGCGCCAGCACATATCGTGACGTTGCCACAATACATAGCTTGCACACATGGTGAGCGTTTTCTTATTCGGCGTTTCGACATTGGGCGGAAGGGGGGGGAGGGGGGGGGTCTGGCTCCAGACCTCTGCTTAATGCCACTGTTTGCAGCAGTGCGTCTTGTGGGGGAGACTCCAACCTGCCTGAAGCAGGCGCCAAAAACAGCTAAGAGGTACTCCAGGGGGGGGGAGGGGGGGACGAGGGTCCGAGCGGATCGGAAAAACACGAAATAAAAAAACGATCACGTGTATCGCACCACCTCGATTGTTCCAAATAGCTTGCAACACCTGACGTACACGTCTAGAATGCAACAACTCGCTGTTTGAGGTCCCCGCTGGCAAGCACGGATAGTTGATCATGCGTCATGTGTTCCCGGCCAGGCCAATCTGCAGCTTACTACAGACAAGCCCAGTCCGGCCGATCCATGCTACTCCAGGTTTCGTAATAAAAGGGAGGGGGTCTGGACCCTCCAAGACGAGCCATTTCAGACCCCCCCCCGTGGGAGAACCCTCCAAAGCATCGTCCCCAGACCCCCCCAGGCCCTCCAAGATAGCTTGGAAGAGACCCCCCCCGAAATGAGACCCCCCTCCCTTTATTACGAAATCTGGAGTACTTACACTTGCCTGCACATGATCGACATGCGCGGCCGTGGCACGCCCTCCCGCACCCTGCCGGACCGAGAGCCGAGAGGTCCGCAGGGGCAATCAGGCAGACCCTGGCCTGGCAGGCCTCGGCCACGCGCCAGGGGGGAGGGCAGGGGGAGGGGGAAGGCTTCTTGGAAACACCCTGCTTCTTAAGAAGGCGCCAGCCCCGTGCCTCCTAAGAAGCAGAAGCGGGGGTGCTTCTGAGAAGCCTTCCCCCTTCCCCCCACCCCCCGCTGCGCGTGGCTGACACCCGACGAAATTCCCTTGGCGCCGGCGCAGGACTTGCTCCGGCCGGACTCGGCGCGGGCCGAGGGTGTACTTGGCACTCGTCGGCTAAGCGCAGGCCCAGGCAAGAGTGACCTCTTTTGCGCGGTTTTAGCAAAAGAAAGAACGACATTAACATAAATGTTTGGCGCTCCGCGCGGATTTCTTGGATCTGCGCTGGCTCCCCCTCCCTGGCGCGCTCCGCGCGCCAGGGGCGGCGCCGCGCCGCCAGGGGGGCACAGCGCAGATCCAAGAAAACCGCGCGGGGCGCCAAAAGTTTATGTTTATGGCGTTCGGCGGTGGACAAACCTCCCTTCAGTAAACCTCCCCTTCGTGACAACGGCCTAGGACCTAAACCGACGGACCTGGACCCACAGAAAGGACGGCCGCGGCGCCCTCTCGCAGTAACCGAAAAGGGCCAATTCCTTCACCGACGTGTCAGGGCGGGAGGTCCAGCAACCTCCGAGTTTGTGGCGTTTTTTTTTACCAGCCTGGAACCTATATCCCTATCCCTGTGCTGGGCATCTCCTGGTTACGATGCCAATCTCGGGGATTCCCTCATTTTTCGAGGGCGGATCCCTGAGATTGTCATCGCCTTTTGGCGCGCCAATCTTAGGGAGAGGGATTGCAACAAACAAAAAAAAAAACACTGGATTGCCCCCCCCCACCAAAAAAAAAGGCTACGCTCGAGGCTGGTAAGTTCTTGCTTCTCTTCTCCGAGGCCCGCCGCACCGCTGCCGTGCGGTGCGGCAGCGGCGGCCCGCGGGCCTGGGCCGCCCGGGGCCCGGCCCGCCCCGCGCCCCGAGGGCCCTCCGGAGCCTCGGAGGCCGCTCCTCGGGGGCCTCTCGGGGCGGAACCTGCACGGCGTGCCTCGCTGCTGCTTTGCCCTCGCTGTCCCTCGTCTATTTCTTGTCTTCCCTCCGCCTGTCTTGCGGAACGAGCGGGAAACGGGGCCTCCGGAGCCTCGGAGGCCGCTCCGGGGCCTCTCGGGGCGGAACCTGCACGGCGCTCTTCGCTGCTGCTTTGCCTTCGCTGTCCCTCGTCTTTTTCTTGTCTTCCCTCCGCCTTTTTTTTGCAGCAGCACGAACGGGAAACGAAGACGGCCCACGAGATCATCCGGGGGCGGCAAAGAGGGGGGTGCCTAAAAGGGGGGGGGTGCAAATCAGGACCGGCGGCATGTGCGCTGCCCAGCGGGGGGACCAGGGACGTAATGAAATAAGAAGAGGCGCAAAAAGATCTGGGGAAATATCATGGCCCCCGCCATGATATCCACCCCCGCCCCTAGTCCCCTCTTTGCCGCCCACGAGATCGCTGCTGCTTTGCTCTCGTTGTCCCTCGTTTTTTTGTCTTCACTCCGCCCTTCTTGCAGCAGCACGAACGGGAAACGAGAACGGCCCACGAGATCGCCAAAGCTTACCAGCCTGGAACATATCCCCATCCCTATGCTGGGCATCTCCTCATCACGATGCCGATCTTAGGGATTCCCTTATTTTTCGAGGGCGAATCCCTAAGATTGTCATCGCCTTTTGGCGTGTCGATCTTAGGGATAGGGATACGTTCGAGGCTGGTAAAGAGCACCGTTCAGGTCCAGCCCTGTCCAGGGCCTGGGAGCGGGCCTCTCCGGCGGCCGCAGCGGGGAGGGACGCAGAGAACGCCGGGCAGGCGCCCTCGGCGAGGCGCGGCTGCTGCGGCGCACTCCACGGCAGGAGAGAGAAAGAGCCCAGAGTGGGGTCGGGCAGGTGCTCCTGCAGGGGGGGATCTCTGGCGAAGAATGGGAGATGTCCCCAAGGTGCTCCAGAATGCTCGAGCATGGGTCAAAACTTGGTCCCAGGCTTATGTTTCGGCAATGCTTGACTGTTCCTCCTGTAGAGGGACATGCCCAACTTAAGCCCAGAGCCGACGACACCGCCCGAGACCCCCAAACCATACCCGGTTCGGCGACTCCGAGGGGTGTGGCTTGAAAGGGTGTGATTTGCAGCCCGCGCCCTGGGTCAGGTCGAGCATGTCCTCCTACAGGCGGATTTTGGACGAATAATGAAAATTGCGGGAGAAAAAAATACAAACAAAAATAATCGAAAAATCGTCCCCTGTCTATTTCTTTACTATTTTTGAATACTCCTCCGGTAGAGGGACATGCTCGACACAGGCCCTGGGGGCAGGCGGGGGCCTCGAAGCCGTCTCTCTCCTCCACGCCCCAGCGAGGGGCCGTCGGGCATTCGGCGCAGCGCAGTGCCGACTGCAAACAGCACCCCGGAGGCCTCCTAGACTGGATCGGAGTAGATGTGGTCGACGGATCGCGCCGCATCGGCAACGCATCGCCGATGCATCGGGGCAATGCATCGGGGCGGTGCATCGGCGATGCGTCGGCGTGGGGAAACACGGTCTCCACATCGAGCCGCATCGTCGATGCATCGGCGACGCGGCGCGATCCCCCGACCCCACCTACTCGGACCCCATCTGGGACAGGAGGCCTAGAACCCCCCAGCACCACCACACCCGTTGCGGTCGCCGAGCCTCAGGTCGGGCAATGTCCTCCTACAGACGGATCTTGGAGGAATAATCAGGAGAAACAAAAAAAAAAAAAAAAAAAAATCGTGCACGGACTCTTTTTGCACTACTTTTGAATACTCCTCCTGTGGAGGGACAGGCGCGACTTAATTAAGCCGAGCCCCATGGAGTCGGGGATCTTCTGACCCGGGTCAGTCCGGACCCGGGTCAGTCAGCCCTTGCAGGATCCTGCAAGGCCCTGCAAGATCCTGCACCCAAACACGGGCCAACGCGAAAGATCCTGCAAGATCCTGCAGGATCCTGCGCACAAACCCAGGTCAGCGCGACCCTGGCCCTGCAGGGTCCTGCAAGATTGGGCGCTCTGGCTGACCCCCGCTTGCATGGATGCCCGTCTCAAGGCTCCCGACGGAGCGCACCGGTGGAGGAAACAAGTACTCCAGATTTCGTAATAAAGGGAGGGGGGTCTCATTTCGGGGGGGGTCTCTTCCAAGCTATCTTGGAGGGCCTGGGGGGGTCTGGGGACGATGTTTTGGAGGGTTCTCCCACGGGGGGGGGGTCTGAAATGGCTCGTCTTGGAGGGTCCAGACCCCCTCCCTTTTCTTACGAAACCTGGAGTAAGAGATGGCCAAAAAAGTACTCAAAACTCCTCCCCGGACTCTCTTGGGGACTACCTCCCAGCCTACTCCTCCTGTGGAGCCACCGGCCCGACTGCCGCCGAGCCCCCCGGAGCGCACCGTGGACCTCGCCAGTCTCCGCGAGCGCGTGGAGGAGCGCGAGGGCCCGGTCCTGCAGCGAGGCCGCGGGCGGGCGCGGCACGCAGGACTGCTGCGGGAGCAGCGCCGCCGCCGGCCGCGGGGGCCGAGCTGCCGCCTCCGCCCCTGCGAGGGAGGGGGGCGGGGCACGAGAGCAACTGGCGTCGAGCTCACCTCCACCCCGAATTGGGTCACTCGGAGGGGCGCCCCGAGCTACTGGGAGAATCTCGCGCAGGAATGAAAAGATCGAGACGCCCTCCTGCGAGGTCGGCTCCGATCTTGGCGCTCGCTCTGCAGCAGAGCACTGGGGCCGCTCGAGGCCAGCATACGATGGCCTGTCAATCCCAGGCTAGGATTGACAGGCCCAGAGGCGACGACAAGCACGGGGGAGCGCCCTCGGAAGCCGAGGTCATCCTTAAGATCGGCATCGGGACAGGGCAACGTGCTTCATAATAGGCAAGGGGGGATATGTCCCAGGCCGGCAAAACAAAAGGACATCGACGCAGATTTGCGAGGACCCGCGTTCCCATGATGCCCCCAGGACGGCCCCAAAGGAGCCCCTAATACGCCCCCAGAGGCTGCCTCCACGAGGACACCAAGAGGCCCCCCAGGAAGCCCCTGAGAGGCCCGAGAAGAACCTCCCAGAGGCCCCCGGAGGCCTCTGTCCAAGACCGAGGCACGGCCGTGAGTCTGACCGGAAGGCCGCTAGACTGACTTGGCACGGGGACAGAAATCGCGTGTACTTTGTGAGGGCGCGAGGTCGCTGGCTTATTGTTTGGGAGCCCTGCTGGTTCTAAGGCTTTGGCACTACATAAATCTAGCACAGGGAGGCTTCTGCGAAAATCAATGAACATGACATGTCTGGGCCTTCCTGGGGTCCTTTTGGGGCTCTCTTGGGCCGTGTTGGGGCCCTCTTGGGCCGTCCTGAAACCCTCTTGGGTCGTTTTGTGGAACTTGGGCCGTCTTGGGGCCCTTTCGAAGCCCTCTTGGGGACCTCCTGTGGCCCACTTGGGTTTCTCTTTGGAACCTCTTGGGACCCTCAGGGGCCTCTCTTGGATTTCTTGGGACTCTCTTAGGAAGTCTTGGGCCGTCTTGGGCGCTCCTGGGGCTGACTTGTGTTGTCTGGGGCCGAACATGGCCGAAAATTGGGGCGATTAGATCTGGAACGGGACCAGCCCACCCCCTCACACTCCCCCTTGTTAATTCTCCCAGCTAACGGATCGCGACGCGACGCGCACTTTTCATCATCTGGGGCGGGTCCTGTCAACCCCCATCACACTCCCCCTTGTTATTTCTCCCAGCTAACGGATCGCGACGCTACGCGCGCTTTCCGTCATCTGGGGACGCCGAGGCCAACCCCCTCACACTGCCCTTCGTTATTTCTCCCGACTAACGGATCGCGACGCCACCCGCGCTTTCCGTCATCCGCCGCCCTTCCAAAACGCTCCTCCTCATCCCTCCTCCCTCCCTCCTCCTCCCTCCCTCCCTCCCTCCCCTCCCCTCCCCTCCCCCCCTCCCCCCCTTGGGCGGAGGGGTGGGAGGGGGGGAGGGGGGGGAGGCTCTGGACATCTGCTCAATGCCACTGTTTGCAGCGGTGCGTCCTATGGGGAGACCCTACTAGCTTGAAACAGGAGCCAAAAACAGCCAAGATCTACTCCATGGGGGGACGAAAGGGGGGGTGCGAGGGCCCGCGCCGATCGGCAAGACAAAGAATAAGAAAACGACCACAAGCTCCAGAGGGTCCCTCCCCGGTGTTCCACCACTGGCTTGGGAGCGTGCAGTCCACCAAAAGGCAAGGGGGCCGCGGCGACTCGCCGCCGCCCTCCATCAACCGCCAGAGGTCCGCGCGGATCTCCCAAGTCCGCGCTGGACCCCTCCTGGCGGCGCCTCCAACGACGCCCCGGTACAGCGCGGAGCCAAGAGGTCCGCGTGGACCTCTGCTCATGCCGTGTTTTGTTCTTCGACCTCTGGCGCTGGCGAGCAGAAACTGGCGCGCGTGCAGCGCCATCGGCCGCATGAATGGCACGGAGACCCCGAGACGCGTACAGAGCCCCTGCAACATTTCGATGGTCCTGAACACGAAAACGATGACGCCGGGTAAGGCCTCGAGGGGGGCCTTCTTGCCCTGCTTCACGTGCTGCTTGGCGTCCTTGCTGTAGATTTCACCGCGGCGCATGTCTTCGTCTACCTTTTCCCTGACCTTGGCCCGCGAACTCTCCGCATCCCCCTCCGAGGAGCGGAAAAAAAACATCATGTCCCGGAATACCTCTGTCGGCTCCACCTCGTCCGACTGGAATACAAATCCGAGATTCTGAAGGGACTGCATGATGAGATCGCCATCGAACTCCTCCAACGCATGCACGAGCTGGCACATGCCTAGTTGCTCAATCGAGGAAAGGCGCTTGCACAGGCCAAAGTCGAGAAGCACAGGAGTTGCCCCAAATGTTGGATGGTTCTGCACCAGAATGTTTCCAGCATGCGCGTCGCCATTGAAGACACCGTCGTAAAACATCTGATGCGCCCACAACTCGCAAATCCTCAAGACCAATTGCTCAAGATCGATTCCTTTACGCGTCAAGCCGACAGCATCTTTGACACTGTCACCCTGACAGAACTCCATGACGAGCACCTTTTCGGATGTCAGGCTGGAGATAACGCCTGGTACGATAACTGGTATCCGACTGCGCGCCAGGTTGCTGCGAACATCAACAAGGTTCTGCGCCTCTTGCCGAAAGTCTAGCTCCTTCAAGTGCTCAGCGTTGAGCTCGTTCAGGAGAGGCATGAAGTCCATAGTGGGCTCAAGCCATCGAAGCACGATAGCGAGCACAAAACTCTGCCTCAAATCCTGGCGGAGGATTGGTGCTATGTCTTGATGCTGCACTTTGATTGCCACCTTGAGTGGTCTCTTGTCTGCGCCGTCGCACCACAACCATCCGATGTGCACCTGCGCAATGGTCCCGACGGAGACTGGGTCGGAAATGAGCGAATGGATGATGCTTGTCGCTGAGGCGCCCCACACCTCCATCAATGTATCCAACGTTTCAGACAGAGGCCGCGCAGGGTTGCGATCAAGCATGCGGCTCAACTGATTTATGATGGGGTCAGGGACAAAATCTGATCGTGATGCCATGTACTGTCCCACCTTCAACCAATAACCTCCCAGCCGCATCAGATGCCTGTAAAGCATCCCGCCCAGCCACTCGTTGAAGCTGTCCCACAGCGCCTGCTTCGAGGACGGGAAGAACCAGCGGGCCAGATACTTCGTGACGTTGTAGCTGACCTGGACAGCGGACGTCGTGATCTGTTCACAGCGTCGCTCCCTGGAGATGTCGACCCCCTCACGGCCACCGGCTTTTTGACGGTCCTGGGGCCCGTCGAGGGCCCCTGGAGGCCGAAAAATGCCAGAAGCCTCCGCCGTGCTTCTGTGCAAGACGTTGGATGCCTCGGCTTCGGGTCATGACTCGGCTCTCCAGCGGTTCCCAAGGACAGTTCGGGCACCCGCGGCACGCTCTCGGCGAGGCGCAGCTGCTGAAGGCATGCCTCCACGAGCTCGAAAACCATGAAAACACGCCCGTCACGATTTTGGATCACGTCGCAAGTAGAGGCCTCCTAAATGGGGTCCGAGAAGATGGAGTCGGAGGAGCACGCCGCATCAACGATACATCGGCGATGCATCGGCGATGCATCGGCGATGCATCGGCGATGCATCATCGACGTCGGCGATGCATCGGCGACATCGGCGTGAAGCAAAACAGGATCCACATCGAGCCGCATCGCCGATGTAGAGGGATCGTCCGACCCCATCTGCTCGGACCCCGCTCGGGAGGCCGAGCGCAAGAGATGCCAGAGGACCACGACGCGGGCGAAGAGGACGCACACGCGCAGGTAGCGGAGCAGCAGCCCTGCCCGGGCAGCCAGAGCGCCAGGCGCGCTCGCGCGCAGCAACCACGCCACCGCGAGCAGCAGCACCGCAGCCGAGGCGCACTGGATCAGCAGCGGCGGCTGCACCAGCAGGCCCTGAGGCCCGGGCGTCGCAAGCTTGTCACACTGGGCGTTCTCGCGCCGATCCCCCGCGGCCCTGGCCTCTCTCCCCCTCCCCCTCCCCCTCCTCCTCCTCCTCCTCCTCCTCCTCCTCCTCCTCCTCCTCCCCCCCTCCTCCTCCTCCTCCTCCTCCCCCTCCTCCCCCTCCTCCCCCTCCTCCCCCTCCTCCTCCTCCTCCTCCTCCTCCTCCCCCTCCTCCTCCTCCCCCTCCTCCTCCTCCGCCTCCCCCTCCTCCTCCTCCTCCTCCGCCTCCCCCTCCTCCCCCTCCTCCCCCTCCGCCCGGCGCGGCCCGTCGGCTCTGCAGTCGCGCCCGGGTCGGCTGGCGCTGCGAACCAAGAAGCGGCTCGCCCGGAGTCGGGCCCCGGGGCCCTCGCGGACCGCTCGGGCGCTCCGACCCCTGTCGCGGCGCGACGACGGGGCGAGGTGGACCCCCGTCGTCGGAGGCCTGGAAATTGGCACCAACACCAAGACAGAGGGTTGCCTCCACAGGGGGAAGATGACCCTAGATTTTCGGTGTTGGTGGGAATAGTTCGGCCACCTTGGAAGCCAGAATTTTACCACCATCACCGAGATCGGGATCTTCTTCCCCCGGTGGAGGCACACCGCCGAAATTGGTGTTGGTGTCAATCTCTAGCCTTGCGACGTCGGGGTTAACCCCCCACGCTTTTTAAGAAACCCAGAGTACCCATCGATCGGAAGAAGCAGGTAGAACCATGAAGTGGGAAGGCGCTGGAAGCAGACTGGGTTCCCGCCCGCCTCCTGAACAGAAGGGGGAGGGAAAACCACTCGACTCTCGAAGCAGGAAGGCGGCTGAAGTAGATTGGGAACTGGAATCCAAAAATGCCGACTTTCAACGACCAATGGGTATATAGGACCCGGGACCCGTACAGACGAGCTGCTCAGGGAAACACTGCAGAGGGCCACATGGTGCGCCAGTCCATTTCTCAGTCCCTTGGCAACTTCCCTCCCGGGAACTCTGCAGCTTCGCAGTGCGAGGGGTGGATACCTCTTCGGAGCTCAGCTTCTGAACTTCAGAACTTCGCATCATAATTGCTGAAAAGGCGCGTGCAACCATTGAGCTCTAACAAAAGTACGTGGACATACCTCATCAGGCCGTCCTGGCCCTTCAACTAGTGGTTTACCCTTCTCGGACCCTGCTTCCTCTACTGGTCACGACACTCCTCTGAGCATTTTGCCTTCGCTTATCGGTGCCCAGGGACGCGGATCGGGACAACTGATCTTCGTTCTGATGGCCACGACACCTTGTCAGATTCGGCAGGTCCGCGCTCCCAGGGCAACGATCTGAATCTCTCGCAATGTATAGAAGATCCTCGCTACCAAGGGAACGGCCCCTTCAGAACTACAACACATCCTCACACCGTGCCTCCCAGGACCTCCCGAGGCGATCCAATGCCTCGAAGGGCTTCCCGAGGCCTCATGACGCCCCCCAGGACCTCCCAGAGCGCCCACCGCAAAGTCTTCAAGAGACCTCCCAGGGTCCCCAGGGCCTTCAAGAGCCCTCCAGGGCAGCACAAGGCCCCTCAAACTTCTCGGAGCCCAAGAAAGCCTCCCAGAGCCTCTCGGGGCATCCTGAAGTCCCAAGGGCCTCCCCGAATGGCCCCGAGGTGCCCCCGAGAAGGCCCAAGATGGTCCGATAGGGTCCGAAGAGGGCCCCCCGACAGCCCCAATGATACAGCCCCAGCGCTCCTGAGATCCGAGACGTCTCAGTACAAAACGCTGCAACATCGTAAAGATGTCAGACTCTTCTTGGGCACTTCTCGAGCTGGTACCATCCATGAGTGTCCCCGAACAGGAAGCCTAACGAAAACGCCCTGTGTCAAAGTGAGAAGCCCGGCCCTGGGAGATAGTGTTAGGTCGGGCGTGTCCTCCTACAGGCCGATCTTGGACGATAAATGAAAAGTAAATAAAAATAATCCAAAAATGCTCAAAACTTATCGGAAAATCATCCCCTGACTTTTTTCACTAGTTCTGAATATTCCGCCTGTAGAGGGACACGCCCGACTTACAAATAGTCCCAGAATGCCCCAGGATAGACCGACCATTTGGCCCCGAGAAGGCCCGCAGACGTTTCCGACCGGACTGAGCCCTCGAAGCCCAGATTCGTCAAAAGGGGGGGGGAGGGCAGCGCCGTCCGATACGAGCTGCTTTCGGTTCGTCCTGTCGTGCTCGATGATCCTCAGAACGTGTTTCGCGCCAGTTCGCGCCAACGTGTGCTTGTCCATCGAGACCGTTCAAGACGACCCAGGTGATGCAGTGATCTACCGGTGGGGCTGAACGGGGTAAACACACTCTGGGCTAACACACGTTCTGAGGATCATAGACATGCACTTACGGGCCCGTGCGAACATTTGGGTGACCCAAAAGGGGGTCCAGCTGAAAGGGGGTGGTGCGATAGATTTGTGGCAATTGTATTACAAATGTTTTGCGCCAGAGAATTGAATTGCATTGTATTGCAAGTAAGTTACTGCACGCGAAAATCCAGCAATACATCTGCGCCCCGGAATGTATGGCACACCTCAAATGTCCTGCAACCCCACACATCTATTGCACCAAATCTATTGCACCAGCCCCTTGTCGCTGGACCCCCTTGTCGCTGGACCCCCTTGTCGCTGGACCCCCTTGTCGCTGGACCCCCGGTGTCGTAAGCTTTGGAATGTCACATCCCAAAGCTTACGACACCGGCATCGTGCCACCACGTGGAACGCCCCAGAGGGCTCGGGGGCCGGGGCGCGCCGCGGCCCCGCACGAGCCCCCCGAGAACCACGCGCGGCGTGCGGAGAAACCCGGCGCGCACGGCCACGGCAGGGCCGAGCGCTGGAAAGACGTCTGGCCGCCATGTGCACGCAGCTCCCGCACAGGCCGACCACGTCATGCGTGTCCAGCTCCCTGGAGTAAGATCTGCAGGACCGGCCCCACGGCCAGAGCCCCCCCCTCCTCAAGCCCACAGCGGTTGGAGGAGGAAGACATGGCACAAGCATAAACTTTTGAAGGGGCGCGGACTTCTCGGAGCCGCGCCGGACCTCTCCCTGGCGCGCGGAGCGTGCCAGGGGCGGCGCTGGAGGCGCCGCCGGGTGGGGGGGGGCCCAGCACTGATCCAAGAAATCCGCGCGGATCGCCAAAAGTTTATGCCTGTGGCGTTGTTCTTCTTCGAGTGGTCCCTCCTCCTCCTCCTCCTCCTCCTCCTCCTCCTCCTCCTCCTCCTCCTCCTCCTCCTCCTCCTCCTCCTGATTCTGGTGCCTCTCACGCACTGCCACCTCCGCCCCCCCGCCGCGGGGTCCTCTGCCGAGGCAGGCGCGTCTCCAGGCGGCGCGGCCAGCTGCGAGAGAAGCGCCACCGCGAGCGCCACTGCGCAGCCGCCCGCGAGCGCCCGCATGTGCGCGACGCCCACCACGAGCGTCTCCACGGCCGCGGCCTGCGGGCATGGCTTCTACCCATATCCACAGCCCCCTCCTCCTCCTCCTCCTCCGCCTCCTCCTCCTCCTCCTCCTCCTCCTCCTCCTCCTCCTCCTCCTCCTCCTCCTCCTCCTCCACCGCAGTGGATGTGGATGCAAATCTGACAATTGTTCCGTCCATACCCACGGCGCCTCTGGTATATCGGAGAAGGGAGCCAGCCCCCGACACTCCAAGGCGCAGGGGAGATGGGCAGAACTCTTGCCCGCACGGCCTGCACCTCCAGGCGCGAGTGCAGCCGCAGCGCCATGAGGCCTTCTCCTGCGCACGGGGCGGGCCCGAGCCGGCTCGACTCGCAGACGCGGATCGGATCAGAAGCGGATGGGGACGATCTCCGAGGATGAAAAAACGCCATAAACATAAATTTCTGGCACTCCGCGCGGATTTCTTGGATCCGCGCCAGACCCCCCTCCTTGGCGCGCGGAGTGCGCCAAGGGCGGCGCCGGAGTCGCCGCGGGGGGGCCCAGCGCGGATCCAAGAAATCCGCGCGGAGCGCCAAAAGTGTATGCCTATGGCAGTTGTTCTTCTTCGAAGATCAGAAACGGATCGGATCGCGCCTGCATCGGCGCGGAATCGGATCGGGATCGGTCGTTTGGAGCCGCGGATCGGGCTCGGCCCCTGAATGCCAGACAGGGAATCGATCCGTGTCGATCGAGGCACGCACCCTTTTTACACCCGCATACAGGCCCTCAACAGCAACGCTGCATTAGAATACACAGTTGCTGATTCCGTCAGACCTTGCACAGAAAAAAGAAGCCCTAAACAGCAACGCTCAACGAGAACACACACACACACACGCATGGTGAATCTGCATCAAATGGAGCGGGGGTGGTGTGAGCGAGCGGTCAGACGTAATGTGCTTGGCGTGGGTGCTATGTGTGTTGGGGGGAGGCCTTTTTCGGTGGCAACTCATGGGAGCCTCCCGTACCATCTTGTCGGCTCTTGCGAGTCGACGCTCATCGACGCGAAATCGACGCCAATCGACGCGAAACCGACGCGAATCGACGCTAACCGACGCTGCTAAATCGGCGCTATCTCATCGACCATCGACGCTCATCGACGCTGAGCTACGCTGGAGACAAAAACTACGAGGGCACACTAGGCTCCCATGACTTACTGCCTAAGCCTTCTGTCAGGTCGACCGTGTCCCCCTACAGGCGGGTTCTAGGAGAAAAATAAAGAATATTAGGCAACAAAAAAAATCCAATATACTCAAAAATAGAAAGAGACAAATTGTCCAAACTCGTCCCCATACGATGCTTTTCCGATTTTTGGATGTGATTCTCGGCGGTGGACAACCCTCCCTTTAGTAGATCTCCCCGTAGTGAAAACGGCCTGGGACCGAAACCGACGGACCTGGACCCGCAAAAATGACGGCCGCGACGCCCTCTCGCGAACCGAAAACGGCCAATTCCTGAATCGACGTGTCAGGGTAGGAGGTCTGGCCGCCCCCGAGATTCCTCCTGCAGAGGGACACGCCCGACTCGACGCCTGCTGCGCTCCAGAAGCCCAGGCACGGCACGGCACGCCACGGCACGCGCACGCCCACGGCACGCGCACGCGGCGCGGCACGCGCACGCGGCGCGGCACGCGGCGCCGCGCCCCGGGGCCTCCGGGGCACGCGGGCTCGGCTGCCGGCTCCGCCCCGGCCAGGGCGCGGCGCTGGTGGAACGTCGTCGTCGTCGTCGTCGTCGTCGTCGTCGTCGTCGTCGTCGTCGGCGGCGTCGGCGGCGGCGGCGGCGGCGGCGGCGGCGTCGTCGTCGTCGTCGTCGTCGGCTGCGCCACCTGCCCTGCGAGGACTCCCTCGCCACCGCGGGGGGGGGGGCCCTCGCGCCACAGGCCCGCGCGGGGGTACGAGTTGAGCCTCCAAGTCCATCCTCCGCTGTCTCCAAGACGTCCGCGACGCCATCGGCGATGGCTCAAGAGGGGCTCCAACACGCCAGGAGAGGCCTCGAGGGCGCCCAAGATGGCCTCGAGACGGCCCGGGAGGTCCCCAGGACGCTCCCGGAGAGCCCCGGGAGAGCCTCCAAAGGTCGGCGACTCCGCAATGTGTGTGGCTTGCAAAGAGTGAGGGGGTTGCAACCGGCACCCTGGGGGACACCCTGGGGGACGGGCGAGGACCTCGACAGAGCTCTCCGCCGCGCCCCGAGGAGGCCCGGCGAGGACAGTGTCGTGCCCACCAGGCCCCGACGGCGCCGATCGCAAACCACACCCCGGCGTAACCATACCCTTTGCAGTAGCCGAAAAGGGGCCTCAAGATACAAAACCATTGATTCCATATGCATGTTTCATCTGTCCGCGTTCTCGCCGTTTCCGTTTTCTGGAAACCCCTCGGGGTCCGCACGACCATCCCCGACCGGTCCAATCACAGCCACGAGAGGGCCGCGAGAGGGCCACGAGAGGACCACGAGCAGCAGAAGAAAAGATGCCATAAGCATAATTGTTTGGCGCTCCGCGCGGATTTTTGGGATCCGCGGCGGACACCCCTCCCCCGAGGCGCCGCCGGGGGGGCCCAGCGTGGATCCAAGAAATCCGCGCGGAGCGCCAAAAGTTTGTGTTTATGGCGTGTAAGCCTCACGAATCAGAAGCCGGCTCTTGTCATGCAAGGGGGACACATATCACACTCGATGTTAAGGGAAAACACATCGTCGGGTGTCCGTGTTCGGAGGTTGAGGGGTACGGAGGAGCGGCCACAGAGACTAAAACGCTCAGCGGGAGGGTGGGAGAGGCCCCATCCGAGCCCAAAGATAGACAAGCGCGTTCCACTACTCGCAAAGTGATTACTCGCAAATGGATCCGCCGCGAGTGACCTGCGATGCATTACATCGAAGCAAACATGTGATTGTCGAAAAAACGCCATAAACATGAACTATTGGCGCTCCGCGCGGATATCTTGGATCTGCCCTGGACCCCCTCCCTGGCGCGCGGAGCGCGCCAGAGCGCGCCAGAGCGCGCCAGAGCGCGCCAGAGGGCGGCGCCGGAGGCGCCGATGGCGGGCCCCAGCGCGGATCCAAGAAATCCGCGCGGAGCGCCAAAAGTTTATTCCCCATATCCTAAGATGGGGTTCTTGTTATTACTTGGACGCCTCCTACTCCTCCTCCTTCCTCCTCTTTCCTCCTCCCCTCCTCATACTCAGACTTACTCATACTCAGACTTACTCATACTCAGAACTTTCTCATACACAGACCTACTCATACCCAGACTTACTCATACACAGACTTACTCATACACAGACTTACTCATACTCAGGCATACTCATACTCAGACCTACTCATACTCAGACTTACTCAACACACATCAGATTTGGAGGATGTCTCAAGCGGGGCGCTGGTTTCAGCACCCCTAAGGGGAGCCGCCAGGGGTGGTTGCACGGGCTCGTTCGCGGCCATTTTGTGGGGATGTCTCAGGCGGTTTGCTTGTTTCTGGGCTCAACATCCTTCGCTTGGAGAGCAGATTGTGAGGATGTCTCAGCGGGGCGCTGGTTTCAGCACCCCTAAGGGGAGCCGCCAGGGGTGTTTGCACGGGCTCGTTCGCGGCCATTTTGTGGGGATGTCTCAGGCGGTTTGCTTGTTTCTGGGCTCAACATCCTTCGCTTTCGGAGCAGATTTGGAGGATGTCTCGAGCGAGGCGCTCATTTTCACCCTCCAGGTGGGCCAGATTTTGAGGATGTCTCGATCGGTTTGCTTGTTTTGGTGGCCAGGCTCGTGGCCCTAAGGGGAGCCGCCAGGGGTGGTTGCACGGGCTCGTTCGCGGCCATTTTGTGGGGATGTCTCAGGCGGTTTGCTTGTTTCTGGGCTCAACATCCTTCGCTTTCGGAGCAGATTTGGAGGATGTCTCGAGCGAGGCGCTCATTTTCACCCCCCAGGTGGGCCAGATTTTGAGGATGTCTCGATCGGTTTGCTTGTTTTGGTGGCCAGGCTCGTGGCCCTAAGGGGAGCCGCCAGGGGTGTTTGCACGGGCTCGTTCGCGGCCATTTTGTGGGGATGTCTCAGGCTTGTTTCTGGGCTCAACATCCTTCGCTTTCGGAGCAGATTTGGAGGATGTCTCGAGCGAGGCGCTCATTTTCACCCCTCAGGTGGGCCAGATTTTGAGGATGTCTCGATCGGTTTGCCTGTTTTGGTGGCCAGGCTCGTGGGCGCAGATTCTTCTCAGGATGCCACAGGAGGCTCCAACAGGCTCCAGGAGGCCCCAGGAGACCACATGAGGTCCCAGGAGGCATCAGGAGGCCACAGAAAGATTCAAGAGGCCACAGGATGTCCCAAGAGGCTCCAGGAGGCCCAGGAAGCTCCAGAAGGCCTCCGGAAACCACAGGTGGGCCCAGGAGGCAACAGGAAGTGCCAGGAGGCCTCGGAAGGCAACAGGAGGCCCCGAGAGGCCCCAGGAGCAGGAGGCCTCAGAAGGCAACAGGAGTGGCTCCAATCCCATGTGTTTTACGTATGCTCCTATCGATTGGGCCTCACCTGGAGCACGATTCTTTGATGTTCTACGTATGTTTCTATATATATATATATATATATATATATATATTGTCCTTATCCTGTGTAAGCAATCCTACTTGTTTTACTTTTGTTCCTATATCTTGGGCCTCTCCTGGGGCACGAGTCCTTGGTGTTTTACGTGTGTTCCTGTAGACCCATATACAATATTACCTTTAAAAAAGGATGCACATATGGGGAGCTCCACGCAGTGAGTAATGCTTATGGCGTTTGTTCTTCTTTGATTTCGGACGTCTGCGAGTAGGCACTCTGCGAGCAGTGGAACGCGCTCGAGGAGAAGAGTGGCGACGAAGACTCCATAGACGTATGGCCCCCATGTCCTTGCGGAGCCTCGCCGTCGCCGCACTGCACCAGGTCGCGCCTGAGCGCCTCTTCGGTGGCAACTCATGGGAGCCTCCCATACCATCTTGTCGGCTCTTGCGACTCGACGCTGCCCGACGCTAAATCAACGCTAAATCGACGCTGATCGACGCTAACCGACGCCAAATCGGCGCTATCTCATCGACTCCCAGGCGCTAACCGACGCTGGTCGACGCTGACAGACGGAACCGAGAGGGTATATACCAGGCTCCCCTGATCTGCTACCGAACGCCTCTGCTGGCGCCGAGCACCCGCCGGTGCCGGTGCCGGCGCCCAGGAGCGCCAGCAGCGCCGGGGGCCCCAGGCCCGCCTCCGGGCTGCACGGCAGCGCCCGGAGGACGCTCGACAGCCACTGCTCGATGAGCGCCGGCCGCCTGCGCAGCAGCGCCGCCGAGGCGGAGGCCCAGAGGGGGAGGCTGCTCCGCGGCAGGGCGGGGATGGCCGCGCCGCCGGGGGCGCCGGCCCCGTGCGATGCGACGAGGGCCTGGTGCGCGGCGCGCAGCTGGCGCCACCTCCGCCGGACCATCCACGAGGCAGCACCTTCCGTCACCTGGATCGTGTAGACGCCGTACCGCCCGCCGCCGTCCTCGAGGGCAGCGAGGCCCATAGACATCCACGGCTCCCTGGCCAGGCCCAGCCCGGGCCCGGCAGCGGCGTCTGCGCCACGCCCTCCTGGCCTGGAGGGCGTGTACACAGCTCCTGGGTTTTCGGGGTGGACCTGGCCAGGGAGCTGTGGGTACACCCTGCGAAATGCTTAAGAAGTCATGGGTTAAGAAATTCAGAGTCTCAGAAATTAAATAAAACCCCGAAAATCTTTAGTAACATCTTAGGATTTATATTGGAAACTTAAGAATCGTCGAGACCCTGGCCGAAAACTGAAGTGTTCTTAAGCATCGCCTGGGGTGTATGTATAGATCTCGTCGCCCGATCCTCCTCCACCTTTAGGTTCGTTGTTTAATGGAAGCCTGTCTTCGTCGAGAGGTTGGCGGATACGGGCGGCACGCGGCGGCAGACGGGCGGCAACCGCCCGGCGGCAAACGTAGCGGCGCACGGCCCGCGCCAACCGCCCACAGGTCGCCCCCGTTTTCGCCGCCGCAGTAGCTGCCCAACTAAAAAACACACACACACACACACACACACACGCACGCACAATAAAAACACGACCAAAGAAACAACCAAAAAACAAACAGACCAACAAACAAACAAACAAACAAGCAGGCAAGCAAGAACAACAACAACAACAACAACAACAACAACAACAACAGCAACAACAGCAGCAACAACAACAACAACAACAGCAACAACAGCAACAGCAACAGCAACAGCAACAACAACAGCAGCAACAACAACGTAACAGCCGCAACAACAACAACGACGACAACAACAACAATGACAATAACAACCACAACAGCAGCAACAAGAACAACTACTACAACAACAGAAACAGAAACAGCTGCAACAACAACAGCAACAACTGCAAGAGCACCAGCAATAACAACAACGACAACAACCACAACAACCACAACAACACCAACAACAACAACCACAACAATATCAATAGCAACGGCAGCAACAAGAGCAACAGCAACAACAGCAGCAACAGCAGTAAAAGCAGCAACAACAGCAACCGCAACAGCAACAACAACAGCAGCAACGGCAACAATAGCAACAACAACGACAACAACGACACCAACAACGACAACAGCAGCAACAACCAAAACAACAACAAGAACAAGAACAAGAACAACAACAACAACAACAACAACAACAACCACAACCACAACAACAACAACAACAACAACAACAACAACAACAACAACAACAACCACAACGACAACGACAACGACAACGACAACAACAACAAAAGCAGCAGCAATAACGACAATAACAACAACCACAACAACAACAACGACAACAACAACAATAACAATAACAACAATAACAACAACTGCAAAACAAATATGCTGGCGAACAACCATCCACATGCAATTGTGAGTACCGTGTTGTAGCACCGGTTTCGGTGAAACTCATTGAGGGGCCGTGAACCGTGTAAGGGGTGCGCCAAATCGGGCGACACCGCAATGCGAATCCCGCCGCTCGGGCCTTCGGTGGAGCTCTCTAGGGGCTCCGAACCATGTGAGGGCGCGCCAAGAGGAGGCGGCGGCGCCGTGTGGACCCTGCCTCTGGGGCCTTCGGCTGAGATCCCTATGCGGCCACGAGCCGTGTAAGGAGTGCGCCAAAATAGGGCGGCGCCACCATGTGGACCCTGCTACTGGGGCCTTCGGCTGAGATCCCTATGGTGCTATGAACCATGTGAGGGGTGCGCCAGAACAGGGCGCCGCCATGTGGACCCTGCTACTGGGGCCTTCGGTGGAGCTCCCTGTGGTGCTATGAACCGTGTGAGGGGTGCGCCAAAACAGGGCGGCGCCGCCATGTGGACCCTGCTACTGGGGCCTTCGGTGGAGCGCCCAATGGGGCTATGGACCATGTGAGGGGTGCGCCAAAATGGGGCGGCGCCGTCATGTGGACCCAGCCGCTGGAGCCTTCGGTAGAGCTCCAAATGGGGCGACACCGCAATGCGAACCCCGCCACTGGGGTCTTCGGTGGAGCTCTCTGTGGGGCTCCGAGCCGTGTGGGTGCGCTAGAATGGGGCAGCGCCGCCATGTGGACACTGCCACTGGGGCCTTCGGCTGAGACCCAAATGCGGCCACGAACCGTGTGAGTGGTGCGCCAAAACAGGGCGGCGCCGCCAGCTACTGGGGCCTTCAACTCCTTCGGTGGAGCTCCCTATGGGGCTATGAACCGTGTGAGGGGTGCGCCGAAATGGGGCGGTGCCGCCATGTGGACCCAGCCGCGGGAGCCTTCGGTGGAGCTCCCTACGGGACAATGAAACGCTGCACTGGGTGTGCCAAAACATAAACATGCGGAGGGCGGAGGCAGGGATGGGAGGAGGGAGGAGAGGGAGGAGGAAGGAGTGAGTGAGACGAGGGGCGCTGTCTCTTCAAAACGAAGACCCAACACCAAAGGGTGGTTGGGCAAACCTGTCGGAGAAATCCCAGGCTTTCATTAGAAAACAAACCCAGTCCACCCCTGAGCCGACCACGGCCACGCTGACGGACGGCGTGACGCCCCCCGCGGGCTCCACCACCGCCGCGAGGTCGCGCGCAATCCGGGTCAGCAGGGCGACGTCGCCCTTCTCGATGGTCACTTTCCGCAGAGCAAAAGCCTGTATTGGCGCCGCGCACAACTTGGCGGCGCGCATAAGGGGGTGGACCTCCTCCTCCTCCTCCTCCTCCTCCTCCTCCTCCTCCTCCTCCTCCTCCTCCTCCTCGTCCTCCTCCTCCGCCTCCTCCTCCTCCTCCTCCTCCTCCTCCTCCTCCTCCTCCTCCTCCTCCTCCCCTCCTCCTCCTCCTCCTCTCCTCCTCCTCCTCCTCCTCCTCCTCCTCCTCCTCCTCCTCCTCCTGCTCCTCCTCTCCTCCTTCTCCTCCTCCTCCTCCTCTCCTCCTCCTCCTCCGCTCCTCTCCTCCTGCTCCTCCTGCTCCTCCTCCTCCTCCTCCTCCTCCTCCTCCTCCTCCTCCTCCTCCTCCTCCTCCTCCTCCCTCCTCCTCCTCCTCCTCCTCCTCCTCCTCCTCCTCCTCCTCCCATCCTCCCCCTCCTTCTCCTCCTCCTTCTCCTCCTCCTCTGACGTCAGGGCTGTGCGCGCGGCCAGCCTTCGCAGGCCCCAGACGCCCCGCGGCGAGGGCGCGCGCGGTGTCCATGCTCAGCCGCAGGCTGACCGCCGCGCCCGGGTCTTGGGCCGCGGCCCGGCGCACGGCCTGCTCGGGCGCCTGGCCGCCCCGGAGGTCGAGAACCAGCACGCGGTCGCCGTCCTCGGGGACCTCCTCCTCCTCCTCGTCCTCCTCCTTCTCCTCCTCCTCCTCCTGCTCCTGCTCCTGCTCCTCCTCCTCCTCCTCCTGCTCTTGCTCCTGCTCCTCCTCCTCCTCCTCCTCCTCCTCCTCCTCCTCCTCCTCCTCCTCCTCCTCCTTCTGCGCCTCCGCCTCCGCCTCCGCCTCCGCCTCCGCCTCCTCATCCTCCTCCTCCTCCTCCTCCTCCTCCTCCTCCTCCTCCTCCTCCTCCTCCATTCCCTTTCCTTCTAGATACCTCTTCCCTGTCGCACCCCGAGGCCAGTTTTTAGGGCGGGCCGGGCGTTTCGCCTGAGACTTCCTCACCATGTGTGACTCGTAAGCTCAAAAAGTGACAACAGCTTCACAGATGGAAGACGGGTCGTTTTCAAAAAGTGGCTCTCGCCTTAGCGCCGCGCACATTCGAAATTTGCAAGAGCTTCACGGATGGAGGGCGGGTCGTTTCCAAAATGCGCCTCTCGCCTTAGCGCCGCGCAAACTCGTTTTAAACATATGCAAGAGCTTCACATATGGAGGGCGGGGCGGGTCGTTTCCAAAATGTGGCTCTCGCCTTAGCGCCGCGCACATTCGTTTTTTTTAATAATGCGCAAGAGTTTCACGGATTGACGGCGGTTCCTTTTCAAATTGTGGCTCTCGCCATAGCGCCGCGCAAACTCGTTTTAACAAATTGCTAGAGCTTCACGGATTGAGGGCGGTTCCTTTTCAAACTGTGGCTCTCGCCTTAGCGCCGCGCACATTCATTTTCAAAATTTGCAAGAGTTTCAGGGATTCCCATGATCAACGAAATAGCGTTTCGGAAGGAGTCCAGACTATGCGGGTGTAACAATTATTTTGATTCCCGGTGTTGAAGTCCCAAAAACGGCGCTCTGGTAGGATTCTGGATCGTCAAGACGCAGCAGTCAGGTTAATACGTGGCGTTGGAATCCCGAGAACTATGCTTTGGTGTGCTTCAGGATCTTCAAACGGTTGTCTTCCAAAGAGGCAGTTCCCTCAATGGAAATGAACCAATGTGGGGGCCTATAAAGAAGAAGTTTGGAGGGAGGGTTAATTCCAACATCGGTGATGATTCTTGGTTTTACACTGGTCCTCCTCCTCCTCCTCCTCCTCCTCCTCCTCCTCCTCCTCCTCCTCCTCCTCCTCCTCCTCCTCCTCCTCTCGAATGATTGTGATTCTGCCACGCGTTGATCCCCGAATCCTGCGCGGCCAGCACGAGCTGGATGCTGGTCGCGCTGCCGGAGACGCTCGCGGGCACGGATTTCATGTGCTTGCGCGCCTCCCCGCGGGCAAACTCGACCCACGCATCCACCAGCTCGTCGTCGGTGCCGCTTGTGGGCAGCGCTGGGTGCCTGTGGCGCTCCGTCCCCATCCCTCGATCGAGCCGAGGCTCGCCAGAGGGGTCCGAGCAGGGCTGCCTCCTTCTGGAAGACAGGAGGAACGCGGAGGCAGCCCAGCCTGAACGACGCTGGCTGAAGCTGAAAATGGCCACGGAGGAGGGAATGCGAATCGTAACACAGGGAGAGAGCGCGAGGGAAGGAGAGAGCGCGAGAGCGAGAACAGAGGAGGGGCCCGGCTGCCCGAAGAGGGTGGGGGAGGGCGAGGGGAGAGGGGCGGAGCCGCACGACGGGTGGGAGGGGGCGCGCTCGCCGATGTGTACATATGTACCGATACATATATATATATATATATATATATACACACATACATACATACATACATACATACATACATACATACATACATACATACATACATACATACATGCATGCATGCATACATACATACATACATACATACATACATACATACATACATACATACATACATACATACATACATACATACATACATATATACATACATATGTACACACACATATATATATCTTTTGTACATATATATGTATAGTCAAGCATCTAAATATATACACCAATAAATATACACGTAGACTGTAGAAGGGGATGCACACAGGCAAGCAAGCATACCGGACATAGGCAAGTACACATGCGGGTGCGCATTCGAGTACACGGGTGCTGACTATCTTTGAATATTCCCCCTGCAGAGGGACAGGCCCGACTTAAACATACAGTCACATGCACGTACACCCACGCATAGCAGTATACAAATGCAAAGCACGCGCACGCCGGAATGCATCGGAACACGAAACACATGCGCGGGCATTTGACCTGAGAACTCGTATAGCATAAGGACAGCGCCGTGGCGGAGACGTGGAGACGGGCCAGAGAGACCGTGGCCCCGAAGATACGAAAGTTCGGTCTCGCCCCCCCCACCACCGCCGTCCAAGAGTGTCTTGGCCGGAGATAGTCAACCCTACGGTGTTAATGGGGGGTACATTGTTATCTGGGGCGCGCGGTCACGTGGGGCAATATACATATATATATATATGTATACATGTATATATATACATATATATATATATATATATATATATATATATTGCGAGGCGGGGATTTATCCATATCCACGGCCTGGGAACCGACGTCCTGGTGCCCCAGCGGCGGTGGATATAGATATATTTCGGCCCCCGGGGGCCCGAATATGTCCATATCCACCGTCTGCCGAGGCTCCGAAAACTGACCCTCCAGGCGCTAGTCTAGTATAAATTCCCGCCTCGTGTGTATAGATATATGTATATATATGTAGATATAGATATATAGATATATAGATATATATATGTGTGTATACATACATATCTATATATATATATATATATATATATATATATATATATATATATATACATGTATATATGTGTGGTGCAAGCTATGCGGCCGCCCAGCGCAGGCCGCACCGACGAGGCACCCACGGGCGGCCACGGGCGAGCATCAGGCAAACCATCGGCACACCCACCCCGTAAACGAGGCGCCCACAAGGCGCCCACGAGGCCACAGGCGGGCAACACGGCCACCAGCTGAGCGCTGGGCAGAACTCTGCCCAGGCCATCCAATCCCTGAGAAGCACAAGTTACAGCCTTCTGCCTGGTAGACAAGTAGCTTATGAGCCCCTAGTGCAAGCATCGCCTGGGGAGTGCACATGCTTCCGCATACACCGATCCTTGCCGGCAGCTTCCTGGGCCCCAGCATCGGTGTATACCACCCCCAAGGCTCGCACCAAGCGTCGTAAAATCGGACTTCGGCCTTACCTGCGGTCCACTCCGGCTGGTTTTGCACACTGGATCGATCCCTGACGGCCGCCAGGGCCCGAAACTGGCCCTCCAAAGGTGAAATCGAGAAGAAACATCCGGCGCAATGTTCACCCACTGCCGAAAAACCCGGAGTGGCTACCTTGTCCATCAATTTCAGGTGACAAGGGCACCCACTTTTTTGCGTCGGCGGCTGGGCAGAGTGACTGCGCTGGCGATGAACCGTTGAGATACGAACCAACGCGAATTGGGCCACCGTGCAGAGAGGGAAGGGGGGAGGCGCCCGGCGACGGCGGGAGGGAGGAAGCTGGGCCCGCTCACAGCGGGGCCAGGCGGCGGCAGAGGGCAAGGGCACACACACACACACACGCGTCCCCCTGGACCGTCGGAGACTCCTCGAAACCGTCTTGGGGGCGATCTGGGGACCTGTGGAGCGGCCTTGACGGCGGTCTTCGATCAGGGGAGTATCGCTGTCTTGTGGGCCAGAGGCCTCATATAGAGGCCTCCTAGATGGGGTCCGAGTATATGGGGGATCGCGACATCGGAGATGCCTCGGCGATGCATAGGGGACGTCGGCGATGCATCGCCGACGTCGGCGTCGGGAAACACGGGCTCCACATCGAGCCGCATCGGCGATACATCGGCGATGCATCGGCGATGCGGCGCGATCCTCCGACCCCATCTTCTCGGACCCCATCTAAGAGGCCTAGGTCATAGACGTATCTTGAGGTCTTTTGGAAGTCTCTCAGAACCTGGTTGTTGGGGGTCTCTTGGGGGTCTCCTGGAACCGTCCCGGGGGCCTCCTGGAGTCTCTTGGTGATGAGCCTGTTTTACGCCACTACCACCACCATAAGTTGGAGGGGGAAGGAGGAGGAGGAGGAGGAGGAGGAGGAGGGCGAGGAGGAGAGGACGAAGAGGAGAGCAGGAGGAGGAGAGGAGGAGGAGGAGGAGGAGGAGGAGGAGGACCCCCCCCTCCAACTTCTGGTGGTGGTGGAAAACACGCCCATCACTTGGGTGTTTTGGGGGGGCCCTCGTCTGGACCTCCCGGAGATCTCTTGGGGCCTCCTCTCGGGGGCATGCTGGCGGCCTCGGGGGGTCATCTTTGGGCGAGGGGCTGGAAATGGCAGCTCAGGTTCCCCCTCTTGGGCCCCTGTTGGGCTTCTCCTCCTCCTCCTCCTCCTCCTCCTCCTCCTCCTCCTCCTCCTCCTCCTCCTCCTCCTCCTCCTCCTCCTCCTCCTCGTGTGGGTCGGTCTGGGTGCCGACCTCGAACGAGCTCTTCGTCCCCGTTGCCCCGTCAGGGCCCCCTCGCGAATCCACAACACCCGCGCTATGGCGCTCTGGCGCTCTGCTTACCAGCGTCTCCATCGTCGGACGGCATGGTCTGAGGGGGCGGTAGGTACAGATATCCGGAGGGACTCTTTTGGAACACTGCGCAACGAGGCCTTGGGCAACTGAAGCTCGCTCCAAACCAAAGGCCGTGGCGAGAGCATGAAGGGAGCGGAGAGGGGAGAGGGGAGGCATGACCTAGAACCCAAGAGACCCCTACGCGTAGGGATGTGGGACATGGAACAAAAGATGCGCCTGCGGTGGGCTTTTGACTGCGAAATGGAATTATGAAATATTATCTGCTGCAGGTGGCGTGGCCAATTGATCCTTTCCCCCCTGGGGAATGTCCTGGGGGGGGGAGCGTGGGGGGTCCCGGAGGGGGTCCTAGGTCAGAATATAATCTTCTTCTGGGGGGTCATGGGGTAAAGAGGCCCCCAAGACCGTCCAAGAGGGCCCTGAATCACCGAACAATCGGTCCAAGACGCCACGGGTGGCCTCCTGACAGCCCAAGCGGCTTCCAAGACGCTCGAAGGGGCCTCCAAGAGCACACCAAGAGGGCCCTGCCTTACGGTATTTGAAAGGTTGTGGCGTTCTCGCCTTTTCGGCTTCCCAACGCCCCAAGACGGCCCAAGATGTCATCAAGATCGGCACAAGAGGCCCTCAAGGGGTTTCCAAGACGGCCCCAAAACGATCCAAGAGGGCCCCGAGGCTCAGAGATCACAACCGCAGCCAACCCCAAGATAGTGAGGTCAATGATTTGCCTGACGTTTTCTATCGTTTCTACTTGCTGTCGCCGTCGGCCGTCATCGTCGTCGCCGTCGTCATCGTCGTCACCGCCGCCGCCGCCGCCGTCGTCGTCCTCGTGGTCGTCGTGGTCGTCGTCGTGGTCGTCGTCGTCGTCATCGTGGTCGTCGTCTTCGCCGTCCTCGTCGTCGTCGGTGTTGTCATCGTCATCGTCGTCCCCCTTCAGGGTTAGCGCAATCACTGCCGAAACCGAATCCCAACAATCCCCCGCGGCACTTGTCGAGCCGTTTCCATCCGCGACTTCTATGGCCCAGAACCCGGCGCAGAGACACGCCCGCGCTGCATAAAAAGTGTGGCGCCCCGATTCGGGCCCGTTCGGGGATGCACTGCCTAGAGGCAGAGGCCTCCCAGACGGCCACCAAAACGGCTCCAAGAGGGTACCCGCACATGAGCCCGAACGAACATTTCGAGCCCTCGGCCCAGAGAAGCCCCCACAGGAGGCCCCAAGAGGCCCCCAAGAGGCCCCAACGAGGCCTAAAGAGGCCCCCAAGAGGCCCCCGGGAAGCTCGAAGGGACCCCCAAGAGGCTCCGAAGATGCCCCCAAAATGCTCTCAAGAGGCCCCAAAGCTGCCCCCCAGAGGCCTACGGGCGCGCTCCGAACAGGCCCCACGAAGAATCACTGAGGACTCTGCCCCACGTCAGCGACGTCGTCGACGCCGAGGCCGAAAGGCCTTCCAAATATGATATGATGCATATGGCGCGGCGGGGGGTCACTGGCAACTGCGTCTTCAGCGGATATGTGTACACCATCCTTCCGTATTCCTCATTCCTCCTGTATCTTCCCCCATCCTCCCTCCATCCTCTCCCCATCCTCCCTCACCCTCTCCCTCCCGCCTCCCTCCTTGCTTCCCACACCCAATGTTCCCTCGTCCTACTCCATGTGCCTCCTGTTTGACGTTGAGCAAACGTTAGCAAAAAATCTGCCGCGCTCACTAAAAGAACAGCACAAGAGATATAGAGGGAAACGGAAAAAAAGGAGAGTCCGCGAGTGCAAAGAGTATTAGATCTGCAGGGTTCGGCAACATAGATGTCCCTCTCCTCCTCCTCCTTCTCCTCCTCCTCCTCCACCTCCTCATCCTCCTCCCCATCCTCCTTCCCCTCATCCTCATCCTTATCCTCCTCATCCTTATCATTAACAGTAGCATCCTCATCCTCATCCTTATGATCGTCGCCACCACCGCCACCACCGCCATCATCATCATCATCATCATCATCATCATCATCATCATCATCATCATCATCATCATCATCATCATCTCATCATGAGCATCATCATCATAATCGTCATCATCATCCTCATCATCCGCATCATCATCATCAACATCATCATCATCATCATCATCATCATCATCATGATCATGATCATCATCATCATCATCAGCATCAGCATTTCCATCAACCTCGTATCACCACAAGTATCACCATCACCATCAGCATCCGCATCAGCAGCATCATCAGCATCATCCTCATGGTCCACATCATCATCATCATCATCATCATCATCATCATCATCATCATCCTCATCATCCTCATCATCATCATCATCATCATCATCATCCTCAGCATCATCATCAGCAGCATTATCATCAGCAGCGGCATCATCATCGTCGTCATCACCATTATCATCATCAACAGCATCAGCATCATATGTGTCATTATCCGCAGCATCGTCATCGGCATCAGCATCGGCATCATCATCAGCATCATCATCACAATAAACATCATCAACATCAACACTACCCCCACCACCATCATCATCCGCCTCCTCCTCATCCCCCCTACCAACATCATCCTCAGCAGAATAATCACACTCATCATCATCAGCATCACCATCATCATCAGCATCATCACCATCATCAGCATGATCATCAGCATCATCATCAGCATCATCAGCATCATCAGCATCATCATCGTCATCATCAGCATCAGCATCATGATCAGCATCTTCATAAACATCATCAGCATCAGCATCCTCATCATCACCATCAGCAGTATTACCATCATCATCATCAACGTCATCAGCAAAATTTGCATCATCATCAGCCTCATCATCATCATCAGCATCAGCACCATCAGCATCATCATCGTCATCATCAGAATCAGCATCATCATCATCAGCATCATCAGCCTCAACAGCCTCAACAGCCTCATCATCAGCATCATCATCAACAACAACATCATCGTCATCATCCGCAGTATCCTAATCATGATCAGCATCATCAGCATCACCATCACCATCACCATCATCATCATCATCATCGTCATCATCATCATCATCATCATCATCATCATCATCATCATCATCATTATCATCATCATCATCATCTTCATCATCATCAGCATCAGCATGATCGTCATCGTCATCGTCATCAGCATCCTCATCATCACTACCCAAACCATCACCACAACCACCATCATCAACATCATCACCACCACCACCACCATCCTCACCACCATGCTTGTCATCATTACCAACGTCATCATCAGCATCATCATTATCATCATGAGCATCATCATCGTCATCATCATCAGTTTCATTGTAATCAGCATCATCATCAAAATATCCTCATCATCCTCATCTCCCTCATCATCAGCATCATCATCGTCATCATCATCATCATCATCATCATCATCATTACCACCACAACCACCACCAGCATCACATCATCATCATCATCATCATCATCATCATCATCATCATCATCATAACCAGCATCATCATCATCATCATCATCATCATCATCACCATCATCATCATCATCATCAGCAGCATCATCATCATCATCAACACAATAAACATCATCAGCATCAACACCACTCCCACCACCATCATCATCCGCCTCCTCCTCACCCCCCCCCATACCAACATCATCCTCAGCAGAATAATCACACTCATCATCATCAGCATCACCATCATCATCAGCATCATCACCATCATCAGCATGATCATCAGCATCATCATCAGCATCATCAGCATCATCATCAGCATCATCATCATCGTCATCATCAGCATCAGCATCATGATCAGCATCTTCATAAACATCATCAGCATCAGCATCCTCATCATCACCATCAGCAGTATTACCATCATCATCATCAACGTCATCAGCAAAATTTGCATCATCATCAGCCTCATCATCATCATCAGCACCATCGTCATCGTCATCGTCATTATCAGCATCAGCATCATCATCATCAGCATCATCAGCCTCATCAGCCTCATCAGCATCATCATCAACAACATCATCGTCATCATCCGCAGTATCCTAATCATGATCAGCATCATCAGCATCACCATCATCATCATCATCATCATCATCATCATCATCATCTTCATCATCATCATCATCTTCATCACCATCAGCATCAGCATCATCATCATCATCATCATCATCATCATCATCATCATCATCATCATCATCATCATCATCATCTTCATCATCATCAGCATCAGCATCATCGTCATCGTCATCGTCATCAGCATCCTCATCATCACTACCCAAACCATCACCACAACCACCATCATCAACATCATCACCACCACCACCACCATCCTCACCACCATGATTGTCATCATTACCAACGTCATCATCAGCATCATCATCATTATCATCATGAGCATCATCAGCCTCATCATCATCAGTTTCATTGTAATCAGCATCATAATCAAAATATCCTCATCATCCTCATCTCCCTCATCATCAGCATCATCATCATCATCGTCATCATCATCAGCAGCAGCATCATCCTCATCATCATTACCACCACAACCACCACCATCATCACATCATCATCATCATCATCACCACCACCACCATCATCATCATCATCATCATCATCATCATCATCATCATCATCATCATCATCATCATCATCTTCATCAGCATCAGCATCAGCATCATCATCAGCAGCAGAATCACCATAACCATTCTCATCACCACCACCACCCTAATCATCATCATCATCATCGGCATCAGCACCATCACCATCACCACCACCACCACCACAATCATCCGCATCATCATCATCATCATCATCATCATCATCATCATCAGCATCAGCATCAGCATCAGCATCATCATCCTCATCATCCTCATCAGCCTCATCATCATCATCATCATCATCCTTAACATCCTCAGCATCATCAGCATCAGAATCATCATCATCATCCTCATCATCACCATCATCATTTTCATCATCAGCATCATCTTCATCATCATCATCAGCATCATCATCGTCGGCATCGTCATCCTCATCGTCATCATCATCAGCATCATCATTATCATCTTGTTCCTCCCTCTCCCTCCTCCCCCCCCGCCACTCCGACGTCCCACGGGAGGAGGAGCAGCAGCGGCAGGAGGCCGAGGATGACTACCTACCAGACCACCCCAACCCAACCCGAAGACCCGAATCTGACCCGAATTTCGGGTTGGGGGGGGGCACGGGTTCCATGTGTTTTTTCAATGTTCCCCGACCCCCCCCACTGGAAATCGAGGATAAATTTGGGCCTTCGGGTTGGGTTGGGGTGGTTTGGTGGGTGGTGAGAGGAGAAGGAGCAGGAGGACCACCTCTGCCTCGCCCAACCGTCGCGCCTCCTCGGTGGGCTTGGACCCCGCGAACAGGATCGCCTCGCCGCAGGCCCACCGCTGCACCGCCCCCTCTCTCCTCCCTGGGGGGCCGCGGGCCTGCGGAGAGAGCAGGCAGGCCCTGGGAGGAGGGGAGGGAGGGGCAGTGAGATAGGGAGTGAGGGAGGGGAGGAGCAGCACGAGGGGAGGAGCAGCACGAGGGGAGGGGCAGCGAGATAGAGAGGGAGGGAGGGAGAGGAGAGGGGAGGAGCAGGAGAGAGGGACAGGAGGGCAGCCGGGACGCGTGAGGGAGGAGGCAACCTGGAGGAGCAGCGCGAGGAGGAGCAGGAGCAGATGCAGGAGGAGCAAGAGAACCAGGAGCAGCAAAGAGGAGGGAAGGAGACGGGGGGGCCAGCCCAGCGACGACGCAGCCCAGCGGCGCCCGCGGCCGCGGAGCATGCCCGGACGGTGCTGGGCGCTCCGAGCTGCCGCGAGCGGGGCCACGGCGGTAGGACGGGTGCCCGGATGCCGCGGAGCACGCCAGGGCGCTACCCTCGAATCCAAGCGGCGCAGGCAAACGTAGCGGTAAATGGTTCGTCCTCTTCGGCCTCTGGAGGCCGTTCCCAGCCCTGGGGAGGCCCAGAACGGCTCGGGATGCAAAAGTCTGGCCTGGGGGGAGTGGGCGAAGCGCCAGGGGCCGCCGTCAGACGGGGGGTGGCCAACAAGCAACAACAGAAACAACAAAAATTCTCGGAGGAGAGCGTAGACTTAGTACAGGCGGATTTCGGAAGAACAATCAAAAATAGCAAAAACAAAAATACCCCAAAATAGTCGAAACATCGTCCTCGCACTATTTTTTGACAATTTTTGAAAATTCCTCCTGTAGAGCAACGTGTCCAACGTAAAGATAGACTAGCGGTCCCCACTGACCCCCACCACCGCCTCACCGCGGCCACCACGTCCATCGCGGCGGCTGTGGCTGCAGCCGCGCCGGAAGGCCCTCCTGCGGCGTTGCAATGTTTTGTTTCGTGACGTCGCTCCTCCAGGGGTCTCAACACATTCTCTTGGCCTGGATTCTCATCCTGTGCGCCGTTGTTGTACTGCCTAGGGCCCAGGGGACGGCCTGACCACAGAGGCCGAGATTGCGAGACGGGGATTCATCCATGTCCACCGCATCGAAACAGACGTTCTGGGGACCCAGCGGGCGGTGGGATGCAAAACAAGGATGCAAGGCCCTTGGACTTCCAATTTGGACCTCTTTAGACGTCTGAATTGGCTCAGGGAGGGTCGCACAAGCAAGGATGCAAGGGTAACATCAGAAAGTACTGCATCCTTGTTCTGGTTTTTGACTGTAGCTATCCAGGACCGTCGATGCTACCGCCCCTCCAACTAAGCCCTCAGGCTTGCGAGAAAGCTTCAAAATTAACGGCCCTTCCCTCACGCTACCCTCTCTCACCTCCTCCTGTCCCTCTTTTTCGGGTCGCCCAGCTCTGCGTCGTTTTCCCTCGGGGTACCCCCCCTAACGTTAGGTCGGGCAAGTCGTCCTACAGGCGGATCTTGAACGAAAAAACAGTACAAAAAACAAAAATAGTCAAAACGAATAACCGGAAAATCGTCCCCAGGCTATCTGTTAACTATGTTTGAAAATTCCCCCTGTAGAGGGACATGCCCGACTTAACCCTAACGTCGAGTTGACCAACTTTTACAACACGCTATTCCTTGTAGTCTGCCTCCCCTGGTGGCAGAGCGCCGCCAGGGAGGGGAGGGCAGCGCTTCAGTGAAGTCTATGACTGTCCGCAGCAGCACAGAGAGGAAGGTTCAGGAGGAAGGGCGAGGAGGAAGCAGGGGGAAGGAGAAGCTGAAGGAGGCACGCACCCTTCCCACATCATCATCAGCAGCAGCATCATCATCATAATCAGCATCAGCATCAGCGTCATCATCATCATCATCATCATCATCGTCAGGTGAACATCATCATTATCATCATCGTCATCATCAACCTCGTCACCATCATCAGCATCATCATTATCATCACCATCACCGTCCTCACCATCATCATACATAATCATCATCAGCAGCAGCATCATCATCATCAGCAGCATCAGCAGCGTAATCATCATCATCATCATCAGCATCATCATCAGCATCATCATCATCATCATCATCATCATCATCATCATCATCATCTTCACCAGCATCAATATTATCATCATCAGCCGCAGCATCATCATCTGCAACAGCATCAGCATCATCAGCAGGAGCATCGTCATCATGAGCAGCAGCAGCATCATCCTCATCATCCTCAGAATCATCAACATCGTCATGATCATCATCATCGAATCACCACCACTACCACCACCATCACCATCATCATCGTCCTCTTCATCAGCAACACCAGCATCATCATCCTCATCCTAGAAATACTCATCATCATCATCATCACCATCATCATCATCATCATCATCATCATCATCATCATCCTCACCATCATCATCAGCAGCAGCATCGTCATCAGCAGCAGCGAAATCATCATCATCATCATCAGCATCATCATCACTATCATCAGAATCATCATGATCAGCAGCATCATCGTTACCATCATGATCATCATCAGCAGCATCATCATAACCATCATCATCAGCAGC